TCTATCTATCTATCTATCTATCTATCTATCTATCTATCTATCTATCTATCTATCTATCTATCTATCTATCTATCTATCTATCTATCTATATTATTATCTTCTGCTGCTGTTACACCTGAATTTCCTCTCTGCGGGACAATAAAGTCTGTTTCTATTCTATTCTAAGTTACAAAAAATAAAGTCAAGTTTATATGGTATAACTGAAAGACACCCTTAACATATTCTGAATAATGACAGCCATGTTAAATGTGGCTACCACTTAAAAATGAAAATCCTGCCATGAAAGGCAGAGGGATGACGTGCATTTCTTCATCTAAACTGGTTCACCACGTTAAAAAATAAATAAATAAAATTAAAAAATGTCATTATGTCGTAATTCAAACAGAGCATGTTTGATTTTCGTTTCTTTTACCTAAATTCTCCTTTAGAACTACGGGCCAAATCAGACATGGTGCCAGGATGGGGCTACTCCAGTTTCAATGTTTTTACTATGTGAGTTTCATTTTCTGTGAAACTGTAGTGATGGATGAATGGAGCTGAACTGCAGCCATAAGTTTTGTTCAAAATAAAAAGTATTTGAAACTGGAAAAAAAGAGATTTGAAACTGAAAAATACACTAGAAACTGGAAAAGTTTGACACACTGAAAAGACTATTTGTCTTTTCAGTTTTAAATTTTGTTTTCATTTTCAAATTATTTTTTCAGTTTCAAACCTTTTTTTTTCTGCTTCAAACTTACGGCCCTGACTTGGCATGTGGGGCGGGGCCTCAGATGGCAGAAAGTGCGGAATCATGATTGACAGCTGAACATGGACTGGACAAGCTGTTGCATTCAGGAACCACCCCCTTCAAATGGAATGTTGTTAGTCCATTAAATGGCATTAGAGGTTATTCTCAAACTGTCTGCAGACTGTCCCTCCTTTACCTCTTAGTAGTAGAGGGGAATATAATCTTAGAAAACCAAAATTCAACTATTAAACCAGCCGTGCAATTTGACTCAAATATCTGTCAGCCTTCCTGAAGGTTCATCAAAATCTGAGGAGGATTTATTTTATTTATTTTCATATTTTAAAGACAAAGAAGCCCTGCAAAGGGGATTCGAGGAGACGAGAGGGAGGAGTAAACTAATCCCTGTTGCAGGGCTCCTTTGTCTGCAAAATACAGTATGAATATTAATAACTAAAATAAATCCTCCTCAAACTTTGATGAAACTTCAGGAAGCTATGTGTTATCCAGCCCATGTTGAGCTGTCAATCATGATTCTGCACGGCCTGTAATCTGAGGCCCCGCCCCCACGCCAAAATTATAAGTTTGAAACTGAAAAAAATAGTTGAAACTGGAAAGACAAGTTGTTTGAAACTTTTCCAGTTTCTAATATATTTTTTTATGTTTCAAATATTTTTTTCAGTTTTAAATCTTTTTTTTCCAGTTTAAAAAACTTTTTTTTATTTTGAACAAAACATATGGCCTCAGTTTAGCTCCGTATAAAACCAGGTTCACTTTCATTTAGCTGGAAAGTCAAGTTTTTATTTTGATGGAGTGCAGAGAGGGAGGAGTTAACAACAATGACAAGAAAAAAATAAGAAGTGTAAAATACAGCTCTACCTCTGTGGTGTAAAGTTAGGTTTGATGTGTTTTTTAAGGTTCCAGCTGAATAAAATTGTGCACCAAATATTATTTTGTTTTTACCAGTTAATATTTCACGTGCGTTTAATAATGACTTGTAAATGAACATTTATTCAACAACAATGAAAATTGCCGTCAGTTATTAAATAAAACATGACATTATTAACATTGCTAATATCTTTACCTATGAAGAACTAATTCTTCCCATTTTTTTACTTTGGCTTTTAAAAAAAATAACTTACTTCTCGTATGAATTTACAAAATAATTTGACCCCAACACGATGTGTGAGTGACTGTAGATGACGTGATGTTCACCATTGTTTCGTGTTTCCTTTCAGCTGGTAGTGTTGCTATAAATGCAGCACAGGAAGCAGCATGTCATGGTTTAAATAAGAAACAACTGTTCATCTGCACGCAAGTTTTATTCAACAAATTAGTACATAAATTTGGTGAAAAATATTAGGGAAAAATCTTCTAACATTGCTTTATTATAGCACAACCTTTTATTCTTGTTTTTCTAAYTATAACTGATAAATGAAACAAACATACTGTTGATTTGCTGTTGTTGTAAATACACATTTTCTTTTATTGCAGCTTGGTTCAAACATTTTAACCTTCGTAGCATGAAAAACTAAAACACATAACTCAGTGGATAGTTTGGTCTGACAGTAGATCATTTAAAAAAAACTGTAATGGCTAAAGGGAGACGCAAAATTGCTAAATAAATCTGCATATTTATTTTAAAGAAAAAACATCAGTTCTTTTATAGAAGTTTGATGATCACGTGTCAGTATCTGAATTGGACTTCAGATTAAATCATAGAGAAACATATTTGCATAAACAGTTCATGTAAATATTTGATAGGTGGTTTATAATAAACCATGTATCTTTCATGTATTATACTTTTTTTTACTATAATTTAAGTTTCACAAATTGAAGCCTGATGGACATAACCTCGAATTTCCTTAAATTAAGGTAGATTAGGATCTTTAGTTTTACATTTTATGCCCTTCCACATTATAATGGCAGCTAAGCCACATAAAACTCCTAGGAAAAGTGCAGGAGCTCCTAAAGCCAGAGCTACTGTGGTGTTAGCTCCCACTGCTATAATCACCCCAGCCAACACCAACACCACAGCAGCAGCCGAGGCCACACGGACGTTCTTTCTTTTCACCTTTTTCTTCTTTTCTCTCTTTTTCTCTTGCTTCTCCCTCTCTTCATCCCACATTTTCCTCTCCTCTTCCTTCTTCTCTTCCTCCTCCTGTTTCCGACGCTCCTCCTCCTCTCTCAGCTTCCTCTGGGCCTTCTCATACATCTCGTTGGTGTAGTGTTTCCCTCCGTTGTCCTGGATCATTTCTTTGATCATGCCGATCAGCTCTGTGACCTGCACGCGGTCGCCTGCGTCGTTGTTGTTAAAGGCGTGGTATCTGCGTCCAAACGTGATGGAGAGCCTCCGGAGCTCCTTGCACTCCTTCAGAGCATTGTCAGCTTTGGCTTGGTCTTTACAAGTAAACAGCATGATTGTGTACATGGAGGCGTCGTCCCCAAAGTTGTCCTGGATCCACTTGACAGCATTTCTCTCTTCCTCCGTGAATCGGACTCCAAGCCTGATCACCAGCAGGAAGGCATGAGGTCCAGGAACTGACATCTTGACACACTCCTCTATCCTGGACTTTAATTCCTCCTCAGAGATACCAGTATCAAACAGACCTGGAGTATCAATCACTTGGACTGGAATCCCATCTACGTCTCCGCTCTCCGTCTCGCAGTGTTTGGTCACAGATACTGGACTGGGATCCTCTTTGAAGACCGTTCTCCCTAGGATGGTGTTCCCCGTCGCACTTTTCCCTGATCCAGTCTTGCCCACTAGAACAATCCTTAAACCTCCAGACAAATCGAGAGCTGAAAGAAATCAAATAGAAAATGAATGCTTCACACAAACGGTTGGATTGTTTTCAGTACAAGAGAATAATGGGCCTCATGCAAGAACATGTTTGTATTCTTATCCTAAATTTCTCTTACTTTTGTTCGTACAAAGGGTTCGTACGAACATGTCACGTCAGATTCAACAAACTCTTCTATCTTCAGGAA